TCTAGAGCACTTATAAAAATATAATTTTGCTTACATTTCATCATTACAGACATCTGGTTTTTCCATTCGATGACTCCCCTTTAGGAGGCGAAGTAACTCTCTGTTGTTTATTGTCGGGTATGGAGTTCCACCTGGATAAAAGAGATTCACCAATTACTTCGCGGTACGCATTTTTTTAAAAGCGAAAGATAACAAGAAATGTTGCAGGTTACAATAAAAACTGTAACCAAGTACCTTCTAGAAGAGCTGCTGCATTGGTTAAGCTGTGTTGCGCAAAATTCGATTCCGTGGAACTGATCGAATTGCAACAGTAATCTTCATATGTTACATACGTTTGTTCCCGCCAAAAACGTTTTAGTAGAGTGTCTTTCTTACCTAATGTGACCAACTCCCACAAAAGAACTCCAAAAGCCCAACTATAAAGTAACAAAAAAATGCACTATGAACGTCTTAAATTTTTCACAAACAATCCGGGGCTGTCACTGATTAAAACAACAGTTTTCTACTTACACGTCGCTTTGAGTTGTGAACGTTTGGTCAAAGATGGCTTCGATTGACATCCATTTTAATGGAAGTCTTCTGTTGCTCTTTGCATGATAAACTTTCTCTTCATACACGTGGCGAGTCAGGCCAAAATCCGCCACTTTTGCGGTCTTGTGCTCACCAATGAGAACGTTTCGGGCTGCTAAATCACGGTGCACGAAGCCTTTCCTCGCTAGGTACTCCTGTGAATGCATTTTAATAATCATCAACAACAACTACAAAACTTTATTTTTACCCACAATTATATAAAAACTACATTTTGCAAAAGCATTTTACTAGATACTGCTTACTAACCTAGTTAGAGGTCCTTACAGCATGTTACGGACTATTTTTGACGGAATTCGAGGTGTTTGGATAGCCGATGAAACGCTGTCTCGAGTGTTTGATATATCTTCTCAATTGAAACAAAACTAAGGAATGAACCAGAAGTGTAGCAGCTCTCGTAAGCTTGTAATTCTCTTCATTGTTAGCAGCTGTTATTATTGTTTTAGGGCTAGGGGCATTGTTTCTGTTGTTTGTTTTATTGTTCTCTCAAAGGGTAGCAAGCCATTCATGTGAGACCATACGAGAGCTATATCACCCAAACGAACGGAGAACTAGAATCGTCAAAATCTATGCTAATTAAGACCGCGCATCCAAACCTCCTTCACGGATGTGATTTTCTTTGTTTTATTTTGATGAATTCTTCATGAGTTTGAGAAACATTTCTTCAAAATGCCTCACCATTCCTTGGCTTATTTGCCAGGCAAATGCCATAAGATCTCCTGGAGTAAGGGTCTCCTCGCTTTCATCTCTCTCGTCACCGGCTTCATCTTCTTTGGNGTTCATTCTTTTTAGTGAAACAAAATTTAGCAGAAGGGTTTGAAACTATTTTACTAAGACTGAAAAAGAAGCACATAGTTAATACAAAACTAAAATAAGAACAAAGATTGTTACGATTGGAAAAACTACAATGCACAGTTTAAACAGATTTTACGGGTAAATTTCTCTTGACAAACGGCATCCACGTTGATATTAGACCGAGTCTATGCACTTAGTTAACGAGTTGCTTAATCTGTCTGTCCTATTCCTTTTTATTGACTTGTATCCTTACCAGGTGCAGTCGCATTCCCAAGAACTGCAATTCCTTGAATCCAGTCATGTTGGTATACGGGAATAACCTTGAAAGAAACACGAAAAGAAAGGTTTTAACCTTTCAAATGTTTTACGCAAAATTTTGTGACAAATTGAAAATGTTCTTGGAAATAAATTTAAATCCTTTTCATTTTTTATATTGGATGTTGGCAACTTACAAAATCATTGAAACGGAGAGACAGTACCCGGTTGGGTACAACAATCATAAAAGACAAAAATTCCAACCCAGAAAGGGTAAATGTATACAAATTGTTATGCAAAGGATCAATGTAACAAAGTATATTAGTTGTTTAAAGTCAAAATAAAAATTATTAAAAGGTTACAGGCTATAATATCTATTCCAATGTTCCCGAAACTATTCTGAGACGAACTCTCACATGCTTACCCGATAGCCAACTCTCTCGCCGTGCAATACGCCTGAGATGACGAAATGGTGTGAAGATGGCTGGACAGTAAACATAAAGTAAAATATTAAAGTGGCATTGTGAACTGATCGAGAACATAATTCTCGATAACTATTTCTTAAGTTTAAACGATTTTTGGCGTTGTGAGCAACAACTTTACATCAAGGAAATGGTCGCTTTCTTTATTGAGTTTTTTTGAGTTTGTTGTTGCAACATTGCATCAAAGAAAAGGTTGCTTTTTTATTGACTCTGTTATTGACTTCGTTGTTGTTTTTATCAGTATTGTTTTTTTTTTCCTGCACAGGCCGAATATTTTCATTTCCCTGTCGATTTAAGGCTGAAAATATTCTTGTGCACATTCTTAAATTATACGGTATCTTTAATAAGCCTGTTTTGACACGCACAACTTCTCGAAGAAATGTTATCAGAATCAAACATACGGACTAGACTGCTTTAGCTGTTTTTCTTTGGCTATTTTTTAGATAAGGACGGATTCCATCCTGTTTAGCTAGTTCGTTAGTTTAATTTTGTTTTTCACAAATTTTCTACACAAAATTATTCTGTTTTCAAAACGTCAGCCTCGGGTTTGTTCTTTAAACATCACAAATTTCATCCTCAATATTCTTATAAAATTTATTGTTATAAAAAAAAAAGAGTGTATAGTCACTGCTACTCTTTGTAAATCGCGTTTTGGACAATCTGATTCATTTTCTTTGGTCGGGGTTAAGGTGTTTCTATAAACCAGTAACCGCGATATGAAAAATAAAACAAATGTTTAAATGCCACCGTCCCAGAGCCAATTTTTTCAACTTTGCAATCGACGTACTTTTTGTTATTGTCTAAATTGTCAAGAAATACAACTAAGCTTCAAATACTTGATGGTGACCGTGTCCCTTCAGGGCTGTCTCAAGTCCAATGGATGTAGCGCCTAACGATCAAATCACAATACCCTAAAGCCCATGTCAAATTAAATTTTGCAGATCTGGCTATTCAAGTATTTCATTAGGTTTTCCGAAAAATGAATCACCAAATTTTTCGCCTAAACTGTAAAGATAAAATCATCTTTTTAAAGTTCTAACTTAACAAGATTTTCATATTGAGAGTATTTAATTTTTCATTGACGTCACCAAACTACACGCTTAAAAAACGTGATGGGGTTTTCTTTTGTTCGATTGTATTACAAACAGTACAGAAAATTTTCAAAATTGCCATAAAAAGTTACGGAACTAGTTTCCGAAAAAAAAATGACTTTCAACGGAACAAGTTTTAGCTAGAATTACCAACACTGCCCAACACGCTTTCAAAACTGACAAATTTTAATGAAACTGAATTTTTTTTCTTGAGCTGTCACCGTTCAAAGTGTCCCCGTTAATTTTCCGTGTAACGTTACCGAGGAAACTATTTAATATGTCTTCCATTGTAAAAGGGCTTCTAATGTTCACAGCTTTAGATCATTAAGAAGCGCCCG